TGGCAACGTCTGAACACACTATTGGCTATCAAAACTGGGGAACGGGTGCCACTGGTATTAGTAAGCACAGAGCTGTTGCTACACACCCTGCAATGCACAGCACAGCCTCAACAACAAAGAAACACCTGACTTCAAATGTCAAATGTCAGCATCGTCAAGGTTGAGAAACCCTGGTTTACAAATAGAATCACACCATATGCTTTCTTTTATTCACCATGATTTCTGTGAAACGCATGCCAACGGTCATGTGGATCATAAGCGCTTTTATTCTCATGCTTCCAGGCAGTCCCTCACTCACTCCTTACATGGTCCCCCCACCCCCACATTTTCACTGGAAGATATTCTTCAAAATATGCCAGTCTTTTTAAAAATTTAAAATCTTCATTTTATGCTGTGCTTTTAGGCACCTTAAAAAAATGAAGTGCTAGTATATTTTGCTATAATATTAATACACTGCCTGGCTGAGTGACTGATTTCACTTGTTCTTTTGTTTTTTCCATTCAATCAATACCAATAAAAAGCCATTTTATGTCAGGCTGGAGGATGCAGAGATGACTAAAGAAGTTACGTCTTTAGGCCAACAGCAGTGCTCTCAGGTGCTAGGATCGGGGAAATCATGCTTGGGAGAAGAGCAGGGCGGTGCTGGTGGTTGGTAAGCACGTAGAGAGGATGCCACCCTTGGTTACCTTCTCAAGATAACATGAATCTATTTTCACGTGGTTTCCTCTTATATCTTCATTATTATCTTACACACCACCTTATTGAAAAAACAACACTTTTGGAGTATATACTGAGGGAAAAGCATCACTTGCCAGAAGATACTTCCTACTCCCTGGCCACATGCTTCTGAATCTATACAATGGTTTTTACCTGATAGGCAAAATAATGAAGTTCATTGGGTCCTTCAGGCTCTAGATGACCAGAGGGGATGCCAAATGAGCTGTCCCTGTGTAAGTTTTATATGAGTTCTTAGAGCAAACTGCATTGCTGTGACCTTCCAGACTGGGGTTTCTCGACCTCAGCACGACTGACACTTTGGGTTACTGAATTATCCACTGTGGGGAGCTGTTTGGCACAATGTGGGATAGTAACATTATCCCTGGCCTCTACCCACTAAATGCCAGTAAGATAACCTCCTGTGCCTACTTGTGACAACCAGAAATGTCTCCAGACACTGCCCAACAACCCCTGGGTAGGTGGGGCAAAATCAAGCCCCACTGAGAACTACTGCCCTAGCGGATGGGACACATTTCTTTGCCAAACAAAAATTCCCATTATTATTCTACTAGTAAATAGTGCAGCTTAATAAAATTTTGGGGCTTCAAATGCAAGCAGAGGGAGTATCTTTAGTATTCATTCTCTTTAAGACACAAAGCAGATTTAGGAACTGGAATAAACACACTAATCAAAGAAATTATCATCTGGAGATCAGAGTTGGAATAGCTATGGCCTGGCTCCATGGTTGTTTTCTTCCATGGGCCTTTGAATGTTTAAAGGTCAGCTTTGGAAGATAAACCTTTCAATTCTTAGCCTCTGTTTTGGCTTGGACTCAGGTTGAGTCTGGGATGGCTGGAAGCCTGATATCTGGGGACACTCCCCTTTCACTTAACATTTTGGCAGACAGCATTTCTATTATGCTTGAATATTGCATCCTAGGGACATGGTTTTCTGTGTGCAGGCTACTGACCTTCGTAACACTGGGGGAAATCATCTCTTGGTAGATAGGGAAGAAAAGAGCTAAAGTTTATTGAATAGTTACTATCTTCCTGACACTGTGTTCATCACTTCATATGCTTAACTGATTTAATCCTCACAGCAATCTAAAGGAGTAAATATTATTATATGTGCATTATTCCTAACAAGGAAACTGAGGTTAAACAATTTGTATAAAGAGAAAAAGCTAGCATGTGGTAGAGCTAGAGGCTGAGCCTAAGTGTGGTGGACTCAGGGAGAATGCAGAAAACAAACAGAATCACAGACTTAGAGAACAAACTTAGTTACTTGGGAGTGGGGTGGGGAGGGGGAAGAAAGCCAAAAGCTCACCTGACGCCTCCCCACACCACACACAGCCAAACCGGTGGTTCCTACAGAGTGGGGCAAGAATCCTCCTGCACTAATTATTGCTCCTGCAGAACTCGTACTTGGCACCCCAGACACTTCACCTCGTGGATTAGGCGTATCCAACACCGGCTGTGTTCTGAAACGGACCCCATGCAGGAGACTCCTTCGCCCACTACTGCAGTCTGTCCACCAGTCACACACAGCTACAACTGAAACAGCCCTTCTCCTTCCATGCAGAACCTGATCCCTGATGGTTATCTGTGCAATGTCTACCAGGTTATATTGGATTTTGCAACAGGTTGGCCAGTCAAGCTCTTAGTCCTCCGGCAAAACTAGCTGCTTTAGGAAAAACAATGAATATATAGACAAATTCTGTGTTTTATACATGTATACACACATATATAAGTTTTTCAGTTGATTGGCCTATAAAGTACAGGAAGTAGAGAAATCACAGTCTTTCAGTGTAAAGGTTTCTAAAGAACTTATTTCCTAATGGTACCATACCTTCTTAGGAATGCACTGTCCTTTGGTATCCACGGGCCAGCCCCTCAACAACGAATTGTCCACCCCCAAATGTCAACAGTACTGTGGTTGAGAAACCCTGATATAGATCAACTATTTTGAAATATATGTATTTCACACACACACACACACATATATATATATATATATACATTTCATAAGTATATAGATAGGTAAGTTCTACTATATAAAATAGAACTTATAATTCATTTCAAATAAAGATCCCTGAATACACATGCGATAGAAGTAGAGCTTCTATCCTGTAAAAACTGTTTAGTGAATATGATTAGGAAGTTGAAAAGATTTCTTAAAAAGAAAGATACAAAAATTATTAATTCAGATAACATGAGGGAAGGTATGTACAGCTGCAAAAAATAATGACATATTGCTATAGTAATAGCCATGCTGTATGTGAACAATGTTTTCATGTTATTGTGCTGAATTTCCCAATAATCTGATCACAAGGAAAATGAGAACCACATATTTAGATAACCAAAGACCTATTGGTTCCATAACATTGGAACACCACCATTGCATATTCTGTGGAGCTGAAATTATGAAGTCCAATTTCTGTAAAATCAAGGAATCTTTGTAGGTAAAATTGATAACTCAGTAAGACAGTGGCATAGCTGATCCTACTGATTTCTTTTCCAGGTAAAGAGAGAAAGTGGAGCTGAGGTTATCATCCTGGTCCTTGCAACTACGACCGTGTGGGCCATCTGGTTACCAAGGATGGGGTTGTTAACCAGGGCTCGGTGCAACAGCTTTCTCAGGCCAGGACCTGTGAGAAGTGGCTGGTCCAACTGGATTTTTCTTCTTTTTCACTGTAACATGCCAAGTTTTTTTCTTAATTACAAATTTTGAGATGCTCAAGAACTCCCATGGAAACAATGAACAGGAAATTAAATAAGGAATCAGCAGCTGGGAATAAATTTTAACTTATTTACATTCAGAAACATGCGTGTTTTGGCCCTTAATCTCCTCATACGTAAAATGAGAGAGGTGGATTAGATGCCTTATGCGTGCATGCTAAGTCCTATGAATCACATGCTGACAGAATAAATTATATTTATTGTGATTTAGAAGTGATCAGGATGATCCCTCCTCCTTCTCACACTCTTCCTCTGCTTGATTAAAAAAAATTTTTTTTAACCAAGTAACTTTTATTTTTATGTTTTTATTGAAGTATAGTTGATGTACCAATGCTGTGTTAGTTTTAGGTGTAGAGCAAAGTGAATCGATTCAGTTATACATATACATGTTTACCGTAGATACATGGATATCTACTCTTTTTCAGATGTTTTTGCATTAGAGGTTACTACAAGATACTGAGTATAGTTCCCTGTGCTATATGGTACATCTTTGTTATTTATCTGTTATATACATAGTAGTGTGTATCTGTTAATCCCACATTCCTAATTTCTCTCTCTTCCCTCCTTCCCCTTTGGTAACCACATTTGTTTTCTATATCTGTGAGTCTATTTTGTAAATAGACTCTATTTTGTAAATTTATTTATACAAATAAATTCATTCGTATCATTTTTTAGATTCCATATATAAGTGATACCATATTTGTCTTTGTCTGACTAACTTCACTTAGTATGATAGTCTTGAGACAAGGTTTTTAATAAAATGAACAATTTCTTTGGAAAAGGCAGGCTGACAACACTAGGCTAGAGGAGTCCTTGTCTTTGGGTCAAGTGCTAAAATCAACAAAAATACATAAAGAAAAAAAGCTGAGAGTTCATAGAACAAGGCCAGAGGTTGTGCCCCTATCTTATTTTACTCTGCTTACAGTCAAGGTTGCTCTTTTCCACAAGCGAGGCTTAATAAAACTGCACTGAGGGTGCCGTTCAATCCCTTTACCGTGACTTGGGCATCACTTGAAGGCCCTCTAAGTGGAGCCACGTTCATCACCGCCAGGGGAAGAGGCTGTGGGTCAGCAGGGAGGCACACTCAAGTGCTACCTGGAAGAGTTCTCTTCTCTTACGTGTTTGTGCTTTTGCTTATAGCTGGGTTGATGTTGTTGCTTTATGAAGGTGTGTGTGTTTGGCATGGGCCTCAAATCCAAATCAGCAACTTCTGTTCATGGAATTCCAATCTGCATGTTTTGCTCCTGGGGACATTTTCTCCAACTCAACTGAAATTCTAAGGAGATTTCAAAAAATGACCACCAAGTTCAAGAGCAAAGGTGCTGCCACTGTGTCTGCTGGAGGTGGCAGGGGTTCCTCCTTGTGACCAAGCAAGCGTCCTGGGCAGTGACAGCCTCCCCCGTCCCCCCAGTGTGAGTCCAGGAGGTAGGACATCCTTTGGGACATTCTTCATGTTCAGGGCCCTGGTGGTGTTGTCCCACAGCTCAATTCCAGAGCCTTGGTTCTCACATCCTCATTGAGGTCTGGAGAGTTTCCTGGAGGGTTCTCCCAGCAGAACAAAGCTTATTGTTTGTCCAGATGGTGTTTCTATCAGTCTCTAGACCAAATCAGTAAGGAAGCAACGCTCACTTCAAGAATTAACGAGGAAAATAAAAGTTTGCCTTTCCTGGGAAAGGAATATAATGAGCAATTTATCATCTAACAATAAGGCTTAGGTAAATAAATGCCAGTCATGAGCCTATGACTCTTAAAGAACCAGGTCAAGTGAACTCCATGCCCCAAGTAATCCCCAAACCAGGTGATTCCAGCTCTTTAGGCTCCTTTCCCAAAATCTGGTACATCAGCTTCCTGGATCTGGCTGGAAGGAGCTGAGACTGTTGGAATTTGGCCTGGGTTTGTAAATCTTTAGCTAATCGGGGCTTATTTTCATATTTCTTTAAAACTTTGGAAAGATAATGAGTGTTATATTAAATTACTGTGGCAACGTTTTTGACTTCTCACTTTCCCTGTAGAAGACTTTGGTTTTCCTCACCATCCGCGGCACCTCTGTAGGTGAGCTGCGGAAGGTGGCCATGCTTTTAAAATAAGGTCTTATTGTTTGAGTCTCTCAGCCTTGTCTTTCAACAAGCTGATGTGCTCTGGCTATCCTTTTGGAAACGGGCAGCCTTAGGGGGGATTTTGTGACCTGTATTATGATTTCTGATGTGTCTGCCAGCCCTCCTCTGATTCCAGTTGAGTCAGTCCTGTTGGGTCTTGATGCTTATTCTTTTGTTTACTCCACAGGGGATTTCATCACAGGGCCTCAGGGCATGGACTGCATATGATTTCTGTATATATGATGAGACTCAGCCTGAAAGTGGATTCCAAGTATTGGGCAATCTCTCTTCAACTGCCTTCCCAAAGGGTATTTTTACTCTACTTTTTACCTGCATTCAATGGTAGGTTTCACCTTCTTGTATGTAAAAGGAGTTTATGTTGAATTTTTTAGCCCTGAATTGAGAATGATGGTGTGGAGGGCTGGAAAGTGACTTTCTGGGGAGTTTTTTTTTCTTTTTTCAAGTCATTCTTTGAGTTGCTTTCATCATGAAGAATCTAGTGTTGTGCCCAACTTGAGAAGCAACCACTGTGATTTAATGGTTGGGCTCAAGCACTATAGATTTGGTAGAATAAGAACTGTAGGCTGACTCTTGGGTTAGATCCATCTAAACTGGTTATCACAAGAGCTGGTATCTTTTTCTACTGTGAGCTTCTCCTTTATGACAAACTACAACCAATCCACAGATCATAGTACCTGAAGATGGGGGATTTTCCTTTTACTCATAGGAAGAGAACAGAGAGACCTTTTTATCATTCATCAACATCAAGTGTACTTTGGGAAGTCCCAGTTAGTATTTCTGGGCTCACAAAAACCAAGACTGGGCTAACTCCAAACCCCAAAGGATCTTGTAATAAGAATGCTTCAGCCCATTTGAAATACTTTCCAGGAATCTGAAGCGTGCCCTCAGTTCAGTTCAGTCTTCATTTCCTGAGTATGATGAAGGCATTAAGATTGATATTGTGGACTTAGCTCTCTGTCTTATTTTTCCTCTTCTATTCCTACTATTCCTTTCAGAGAGATTTAAGTCTTCTTATATGGCTTTGGAAACAATCATGAGTTCAGGTTACTTCTTCCTTTTAGCTCCAAAATGTAACATATAAAAGTAAATTCACAGGCTGAAAATTCCTAAAACATGCCAATAATTCGCTGTCCTGTTATTCTGCTGCTCCAAATTCTGCAGTGCTTCCCTACTTCACTCAGGGCAAAAGCTACAGTCCTTACAGGGGCGTCACGGCTCAAGGCTTCTGACCATGTTGTGCCCTCTGACCTCAGTTTCTTTTCTGGTTCACCCCTTACTCTTTCGTGAACATGCTGGGCCTGCCTTACAGCCTGTGCCTCAGCTCTTCCCTCCGCCCCAGTCACACAGCTCACTTCGTGTCCCCACCCCAGGCTTTGCTAACATCTCACTGTCTCAAGGAGTCCCCGCCACCTGACCAAGCTATTTAATTCTGCATTATGTCTCCCTAACCTTCCTTAGGACTTCTGATTGCTTCTACTCTGCTTTATTTTTTCCAAAGCATTTAGAAATAATGTGTAACATTTTAAAAAATGCTATTCTTTTACCCACTGAAGTATTAGCTCCATAAGGGCAGCAATTTTTGTCTACTTTGTTCAAGCTAAATACAACATGCCTAGAATAGTGTCCTAGTACTGGGTACACAGAAAGTACTAAATATGTTTTGATTTTTTTATTTACATTTAAAAAAATCCCTAAAGTGAGATCATATAGTATTTATCTTTCTCTGACTTATTTCACTTAGCATAATGCCCTCAAGGTCTATCTATGTGGTGGCAAATGGCAAAACTTCTTTCTTTTTTTTAGTGGTTAAATAGGTTTCCATTGTGTGGACACAGATGTAGATATATACACATTTTCTTTATCCATCTGTCTGTTGATGGACACTTAGGTTGCTTTCATATTTTAGTTAGTTAGTTCAGTCGCTCAGTCATGTCTGACTCTTTGTGACCCCATGAATCACAGCACGCCAGGCCTCCCTGTCCATCACCAACTCCCAGAGTTTACCCAAACTCATGTTCATCAACTCAGTAATGCCATCCAACCATCTCATCCTCTGTCGTCCCCTTCTCCTCCTGCCCCCAATCCCTCCCAGCATCAGGGTCTTTTCCAATGAGTCAACTCTTCGCATGAGGTGGCCAAAGTACTGGAGTTTCAGCCTCATATCTTAGCTACTATAAATAATGCTATAATGAACATGAGTGTGCAGGTATTTCTTCTGCATAGTGATTTCATTTCTTTTGGATATACAGCCAGAATTGGAATGCTGGACCATATGGTAGCTCTATTTTTAATTTTTTGAGGAATCGCCACAGTGTTTTCCAGAGTGACTATATCAGCTTTTTTTTTTGTTGTTTTTTAAAATAGATTCAGTTTCTCTAAGCTATAGGTCTTTTACTTCAAAACAACCTCTCTGCTCCTCTAAGCTATAGGAAAACTCGGAATTTCAGAGTTTTGTGCAGACACAATTGCTTCAGACTGGGGATGAAAGTGAAAGTGAAAGTGGAGTCACTCAGTCGTGTCTGACTCTTTGAGACCCTGTGGACTGTAGCCCACCAGGCTCCTCCGTCCATGGGATTCTCCAAGCAAGAATACTGGAGTGGGCTGCCATTTCCTTCTCCAGACTGGGGTTACCCTTGTTAAAATAAAAAAGAAACGAGAAAAACCTTCTGCGTTTCTCAAATGAATGCAAAACACATAGTTAATAGTGTTCTTAGTAGTGTGCCAAGTAGAAAGATTTTTATAACTTTGAGCACACATGTCTCTGCGCAAAATCATCCGATGGCTTCCCACCTTGCCATTACAAGCTACAGCTCTGACACTGACAGATCTGGGAGTCTGCATCTTGGCAACTTGATTAAGCTGGAACTAATTTTCACAGAATCCTCTTCCCTGAATGGTTCTCGGTCAGAGTTGGCCAGAGAGGAATTTGAGCAAGATCTGGAAGGCAGAAGAACAAAAGTGGCCACTACTTTTTGGAGGTCTTTCCAGTCAAATATGGAGAAGGACAAATACAGATGAGTCTAGAAGACTCCTGGTGTTTCTCACTCTCCTCTGCCATACACCTAACTTTTCTTGGCTACTGACTGACAGCCGCCCCAGGTCCAACTCCACATGCTCGTTTGTGGACATTCAGAGGCAGGGGATATGCATGGGCTATAGCCTCCTGTGGACTTCTTTGCTAGCTCTTCCCTGTAGCCCCATCCCAGCATCTGGACACACACCTGGCTCCTAGTTCAGATCTCCTTGCCAGCTCTAAGTTATTCCCTACACCAGGCTGGTTAGTGACTCTCCCCTGACAGGCAATACTCCTTGCCAGACTGTTACTTACCCAGCTGCTCCCACAAGTGTGAAAAGTCTAATTCCTATAATAGAGCCCTTATTTCAAAGTATTCATAGGGGTTCTGCTTTTCTGACTGAACTTTCACTAATACAATCAACAATACCCTAAGAGGTGGGATCACATTTGGGGCTTCCTCTACCTAGAATGTTCTTTCTACACATGGTCACAGGGCTCACTTCCATTATCCTTTCATATCACTGTTCAAACGCCATCCTAGAATGTCAGTCCTAAAGTGGCTCATCCCCCTCCACACGCTCGGCTCTCTCTTTCTCCCTTACTTCGAGCTATTTTCCTCTATAATATTTATCATTAGTTGGCATGTTATTATTTACTTACTGCCTGCCTTCCCACAAGGGATTCTTTCCTAGAGTCAAACTGGGAGTCTAGGAGTCCTTGGACAACAAAATAATCATATCCTTATTTTTAATGCCCTCTAACTGAAATTTGACATTTCTTTCAATTATGAGTACAGACAGCAAACTGAATGTATAGCAGGGCCTATGACTTGTTAGCAGCAAGAAATTGCAGGTATGTTTCCCATGACATTACAGTTGTTGACAATATCTTAAAATAGCATTTATGCCCACTGCTTAGAAATTATGGTTGTCAATGGGCTTGCAGCTAGGTGGCATGTGATCGAGTCTTCCTGGATACAGATGCTCACAAATTGGCTGATCATAGAACAACTCTGTGCTTGGCTGTCATTCAGCCACCAGTGAAACCATGGTTTCCTATGCTGGCGACTCAGACATCTTCTTGCATTCTGGTATTTCTCACAGTGTTATTCAATATGTAGAAAGACTGAGCTGTTTCTGTTGCTTGTTAAAAGTGTCTAAGAGTACGTAGTTCACACAAGAATTCTTAACTCTATAACGTTGCATGGCCTTCTGTAATAAGGATAGGCATGCAGTCTAGGAATAAAGACCGGATAACTTCAAATACATGTGATGGTTGAGATAATCATCGCAATGTGTTATTTAAAGTAGCCTACAGCTAAGACAATGTGCAGTAATAGGGGTCAAGTTCAGTGCAAGTTAGTGACTTTCAATATCAATATAATTGCTTTTCTTTGAATTCTTTGTATTTTTATTTTCTACATTTGAAAACACTATTCTGAGAAAGGGTCTCTAGACTTTACCAAAACACCACAGAATTTGTGAGCAAGAAGAAATTAAAATCCTGAACTAGAACGTGTGACAAGAGGGTAGAGATTTTTTTCTGTTTGTTTCCTTTGCTCAGGAATCTACCATTTGGTAGGACTTGATTATCAAGAATAAGCTAGGGCCAGACAGGACTCTATTATTTATATTCTTTTCTCACCTTGGTATCCACCCCTTCGCTTTTTCCCAGGGCCACCCTTCCCCATATTCACTAGACGTGGCATATTCATGAAAGGAAGGCATCTCTTGGAAGTGATGGGAGGCAACATTCCTGAAGAGTCTGCTGACAGGTAAGGGCTTTTCAGGACACAATGCTAAACCTATTTTTCTTAAAAGCCTAAAATATCCTAACAACAAGAAAGAAACCCCGTAATAGCTCATACTTTGGGGATTTCCATGTTGCTTTTTTTTTTCCCCATGAAAGATACATGACATTGTACTCAGAATTGGCACTTGCATTGTTATAAGAACACTGACTCACTACCTCCTCTCATTAAGGCCTCAGGAATTCTGAGATGATGGATTTTTCTCTACTGAAAACCACCGGCCCTCGTGAGGCCCCCAATGCTCTACTATTTGGATAAGAAACTTGTGAACATTTTGCAAATTAAAAGAAAAAGCCATAGGAAAAAAGTAGTTTTAAAGTACTGTAGTTCATTTCAATGAATTCAACCAAGATGCACAAATCGATTCACACAGCCACACTGGGATGTAAGTGGAAATCCCACTGTCACTCCATCTGTGTGAAGACTTCCTAATGCACTTCCAAACCTGCTGCCTCACATTAACTTCCCAAAGTCCAGAAAAGATGGGCTGAACAGTTCCAAACATATGAAAAGGACCCAGTTTCTTAGGATGGGACAAAATTATAGAAAAGGGAATTTTCTAAAGAGAGCTATACTAGATTTGATTAACATCTGATTGGCTGTGTTCTAATACCTAATTAATAGCTTTCTAAAGGCCTATTAAAAGATCTCTTATTTTCTTATACATATTTCAAGGGGAGAGAACCAACATTTATTGATTTTTTTTTATTACTTCTAGGCAGAGTGCTTGTTGCTTGACAAACATTTCATTTGAATTTCCCAGCTACTTTAAGAGGTCCATATCAGGGGAACCAAAGCTCAGAGGGGTTAGGTGATCTATGCAAGGTCACACTCTTTCCATCCGTCAGAACATGCTGCTCCAGAGCTCACAGAATTTCCCAGACTTGGGCCATTTCATACTATCTTTATGGTCCTATTGTTTGCTTCATGTTGTTCTTTACAATGGCTTTGAAGATTAAATACATGCATTTAAAAAGGAAACTTTACATTGTTGCTGATAAATAGTACCACTTGTCATAGATTGAGGGTAATTGTAAAAAATAAATCAGTGAAAACAGGACAATGCTGGCACATTTTATCCAATTGTAGTCATTAGTAAACGTTCTAAACCCAAGGCTGACGCTCCTCAATCCGAAGCTAGCAACTGCTGGAGATGGATTAAAGCCATTAGGACTGCATTACTTTGCTGGGTTGCCATAACAAAGTATCAAAGCCTAGAGGGATTAAACAACAGAAATTTATCTTCTCACAATTCTGGAGGCTGGGGGTCCAAGGTCAAGGTGTTGGCAGGTTGATTTCTTATGACACCTATCTTGGCTTCTACATGGCCCTCCCCTTGTGTCTTTACATGGTCTCCCCTCTGTACGTGTGTGTGTGCAAATCCCCTTCTCTTATAAGGACACTAGTCATGTTGAATCAGGGCCCACCCTAAGGATCTCATTTAACTTACGTCTTTAATGACCCTATTTCCAAATTTAGTCACATTCTCAGATTACTGGGGGTTAGGACTTCAAATTATGAATCTTGGGAGGGACCCAATTCAGTCCAAGTGTGCTGTGTTTAGTCGCTCAGTTGTGTACGACTCTTTGCAACCCCATGGACTGTAGCCCACCAGACTCCTCTGTCCATGGGGATTTCTCCAGGCAAGAATACTGGAGCAGGTTGCTGTGACCTCCTCCAGGTGAGACTTCCCAACCCAGGGATTGAACCCAGGTCTCCCGCATGGCAGGCAGATTCTTTACCATCTGAGCTACCAGGGAAGCCCAAGAATACTGGAGTGGGTAGCCTATTCGTTCTCCAGGGGATCTTCCTGACTCAGGAATTGAACCGGAATCTCCTGCATTGCAGGCGGATTCTTTATCAGCTGAGCTACCTGGGAAACCCAAGTCAGTCCATAACAGCACCAAAATGAGACATTCTCCTTGGAATAATAAGAAAAGTTGAACCAAAAGGGAAAAGGGAAGAACTCCCTCATCACTTGATAAATATTATTTAATGTCATGACCCAAAATGATCTAAAGTTCTCTCCTAAACCACTGGTGATACTCATCCTATGTTTTGGAAAACACAAATACTGGCTCTGTGATAGATATCTTGGCTACATGCTGTCAGCAGATCCCCTTGGCCCTGTCAAGGGAGATGTCACTTGAAATTTTCTTAAGTTTCCCTGCATGCTGCTGGCTTCTGAACTCAGCCTGGGGCTTTCTGTGTCCTATAAGAGTCTGCTTGACAAGCTTACAGGGGTGGCAAACCAAGGTACAAGGAGTTAATGTTCCCAAGGAATAATCCTTAAATAGTTGATGAAAAAGTACTCCTGCTTCCTTATGATTTGCCAAGCCAATTTGAAGGGTTTTCTATACAGACCCTCAGAGTCTCCAGCAAATTGTAGCCCCAGTTGCCCAGGGCATCAACTCACTCATTAACCCACCTCTGGTGACCTTCTCCCCTTCTTGGTCTCACCCCTATGCCCTCACTGTGCTGTCCCCAATAAAATAACTTCATCTAAATCCTTTTCTTAGGGTCTACTTTTAGGGAATACAATCAAAGAGTAAATCTATGATTTTCATCGAAAAATGAATAAATAAGATGAAACTTTATTTCCAGCTAATCCAACTAGAAAGCCAGCTAATTCCAACTGTTACTTCCAACTAATCAAGCCCAGTCCTGTATCACTCTTGCTCATAGAACAATGAGGTGAATGCTGATGTAGAAACCGACATGGAAATACTATAAAATGACCTCTTAGATGCTTTTCAATCACCAAGAAGTTCTACAGTCCTAATTCAAGTTTTGATCATCCCCTTTGATGATTCAATCTCCCTCCTCAAGCTGGAAAATTGAAAGCTTTTAACTTGGCCTTACTAACCACTGTAGGCATACTAAGTATTTCTTTTATTTTTGGCCTTCAGGCAATTTGGGGGATTATCTGTTGACATCTTATCTTTCTTCTGCAGACTGAACTCCTTGGAAGTGGATTTTCTGATGATAAATTTAAAAGAAAACCCTCTCCCTAGAAGGGGAGAATAACCTAATTGCTCATTTTACTTAAAAATGAAGAGGTTTGCTGATGATGTGTAGATATGACTTTGGAGAACAGTAAGAAAAGAATTCCATGCATACCTTTAGAATGTTATCAGCAAAAGTTGTGTACCAAATGTATAGCTAGACCCACAAATAAGGCAATAAACCATATGGACACACGGAGGCTTCTGATTCTTATTAAGCTTTAAAAAAATATATGCCAACAGAAAAGCACAGAGAATGATGTATTGGGTGCCCACTTACCCACAGCAAAACTTAATGAAAGCTTAATTTGAAATAGCCCTCTTTCTCCTTTTAAAGAAATGAAACATCACAAATATGCTTGAGACTCCCTAGTACCTATTTCTATCTCCCTCCTTCCCCAGATGGATTTTGTTTTTTATCATTCCTAAATCTGTTTTAATATTTTTATTACACATGCAATATTATAAACAATAGTATTATCTTGCATGTTTTAAAACTTTCCATAAGTGGATCATTCTGTGTTCATCATTTTACAACATGATTTTTTTTTTACTCTATATCATATTTTAGAAATTTATCCATGTTTACATGTCTAATTTAACTCATTCATTTTAGCTGCTATAAAATATCCCACTGTATGAACAAACCACATTTTGTTTTTACATCTTCCAGCTGATAAACATTAAGATAGTTTCTAATGCTTGCATATAGCAAACAGACTCCACCTGTTGGTGGATGGGCAGTGGCAAGATCTGGAAGATCATGTGGGACAGGAACTATTGGTATGGCTCTTTCTGGAAAACACACTTTGCTATAATTATTACTTTATATAAGACTGCCAGGTAGGCTTCTTTAAAGGTGATATTTGAACATATAAAAGTACAGGAATGAGTCATGCTTATATTTGGAAAACAGTAGTGAAAACAAGTGCAAAGACCCTGGGGCAGATTATGATTGACAGATCAGAAACAGTCTGCCTGAAGTCAGGTAAGCAAGGGGAAGTAGTGGTAAGTTCAGAGAATAGCCAGCAGCCTATTATCCAGGGTCTTGTAGGCCATTATAAAGACTCTAGTTCTTAATCCAAGACATAGAGAAGGGGGTGGTTGACAGAGGGGAGGCATTATCAGACTCATCTTTTAAAAGAATCACTCACTGAGGCTCAATACCCAAGAGTCTGACTGTGTAGACCAGTCACCTAAAGATAAACAGGAATGGAGTTTATTGCTGCACATTCAAAGTACTCAATTACATATGAGCTAAGAAGATGAGTGATAAATCTTAGGCCCTTGTAAATGTCTTTCTGAAATCTTTAGTTGGTTTAAAGTTGAATTTGTACATTTTAGGCATTACTAATAATACTTAGTGGGCTTCCCTGGTGGCTCAGGTTAATGAATCTGCCTGCAATGTAGGAGACAACAATTAGATCCCTGGATCTGGATGATACCCTGGAGTAGAAAATGGCAACCCACCCCAGTATTCTAGCCTGGGAAATCCCATGGACAGAGCAGCCCAGTAGGCTACAGTCCATGGGGTAGCAAAAGAGTCGGTATTACTCAGCAACTAAATAACAACAGTAATACTGAGCACTTCAAGCAAGTGTTTTCTCAATTTGAAAACTTTTATATGTGGAGGGTGGCAAGTGTGCTGGAGACCTCTCTTTTGCTCTCCAGTCCCACTACTCTCTTTACTCTGCTGTCTGCTCAGGAGCTGACCTGTGTGGACTTGTGTAATAGCCTCTGATAACTCTGCGGTCCAGGGTGGTAGAGCCAGTGGACATTTCCAGCAGGTGAAAAGGAAGGAGGAGAGTGAGATTTGGCTATTAATTTCTCCGGCCCCCTTTGAGGTTCCTCAACTGTGTCTCAACAGAAAGTCATGGTGCTCTCAAGGTAGCTGTTCTATGCGACCGTCTCTTTTTTTCAGTTCCAGCAACCTCACCCTCCCTTTTAGGTCATGATAGTGACAACTTCATTCCAGATATGCCCCAGTTTCTGCACCATCCCCTGTGGTACCCTCCACCCACACCACCGTAAGTAGACCTTTTGTAAATAAAAACTTACCAAACGATTTTATTCAGCATGTGTCATCTGTTCTTGTTGGGACTCTGAGCTAACTCAGCAATAATTAATCTCAGAATTCAAACCTGGGTATTCACATATTTAGTTTTTATCCATTTTTCTCCTCTATTAGTGTTTTCTTTTTTCCTCCTAGTCCTATGGCCTGTAAGTATGCAAATATGAAAAAAAACTATAGAGTTTCAGGAGGTAGTTTGGTGTAACATTTAAGTTACACAATGTAACAAAAATAGATGTCCCCCTAAAAGGACCAGTTTGGGCACATACATTTTGCTTATACAAATGGGAGAGAGTTGTTTTCATGTCTTCTCCCCATTCTCCACACCAAACTAAACTATGGACATTTTATAAGGATGCTTGAGCAGAGGGCTAAAAGAAATGAGCCAGGTTCATATCTGAGAAAAAAATTTCAAAAACC